CTAATCATACTCACGTATTTGTATGTGTTAAGGACATACTCCTTAGCTTTAACGCCGCTTTTGATCTCTGTAAAACCTGTACGATACATATACCCAGGGTTTTTACATGAAGTTCGACCACAAAAGGGAAGCTCTGACGTCACGGCTGTACAGTATATTGGTCCTACGGCAGGGTCCTCAAAGTTCAATTTGTAGTGTGTTGATTCTGTGAAGGAGACAGTAGGTTAGAGCATCATACTCAGGGTCGTTGCATGGTATATGTTTAAATCTTGATTCTGTTTCGTTTTGTCCAAAAGGTTGATCCCTAATCCTCTTTCTGTCAAGTTTTTGCTCATGGCCTCCGGTTCCACAATGCATGATCCCGAACTCAGTAGCTTTGATCCCAAATATGATCCCAGATCCAAGCATAACACTAATCCCTGATCCCATATCCTGTCATCACCATTGTTGTTATTATTTTTTTACGTATTTCCATCTTTATGTTCAATTCTCTCTCAGTTTTCTGATTATCGAGAACATAGATTTTATTCTCGGGAATCGGAGTATCAGTGCTATTTTTGGGTTCAGAGATCAGCATTTTAGTCACTTAGTCGCGATCAGAGGATCACGGATCAGAGGATCACGGATCAAAGGATCACGGATCAGAGGATCACGGATCAGAGGATCACGGATAAGGTATCACAATGTTCATTCAGATTAGCTAGGATCAGGGTATTTTAAGGAATAGCAGGCATCCAACTTTTAGGCATGGGATCATTGAATGATATTGTATATTTATTATTCAATTAACGAAATTAAATTAAGAACTCACGCGATGGTGTATTGCACTTGACAGAAAAGAAACTTTGGATTGTATCCTTCAAAGTGTCTATCGTAGTTGTATTCGGTACGATGTAGTCACTGATCGCATTTCCAAAGCTTAATTTAAAACCCTCTTTTGTGGACATTCCACGGCGTATTCGCGTTATATTGATCTCTAGTCCCGTGACTGATGCACTTGYTAATAAYTCTACATCGTTGGGGTTTGTWAAGGAATACTCGATTGTAAACGTTGCCGCGGTTWCTAAGGCAACGTTCACGGTGCCACGTGATGAAATGGTTGATAGTCCATTCAGRGCTTGTTTCAGGCTATTCGCGTTAACGTCTAGACGTAGGGGACTGGTGGAGATTGTATTGTAAGTAAGTTGAAATGTTTGATTGCAGGGAGGTTGGYTGATTTGGCCGCACRAAGGTAGCTKGACCTGCTGGACCTCTTGAGTAACTTCGGCTTGATTCCAATTTGTCATGTCAAGGATCTAAATGATATTAAGATAATAAAAATCTCTTCTTAATACAGGAAGCCCAAACAGGTTTGTTTGCTTACCTGTTTTTCGCAGCGAGCCTCTGAAGTGGTTGTAATGGTTTGTTTTTCGTCTACAGCTCCACCTATCTTTGAACTAGGATGAGGGACGCAGTCCGTGCTAACGCCAATCTTTAGYCTATGACCTCGGGTGTGGTCCACATGCAGAGCGTGAAGGTACACKACTTGTCCTTTTTTTAGATTGAACTTTTTTGATTTCTGTTCGGGAAAYCTGTCCCATCGGTGTGTTGCMCCCTTGCATTCGGCTATCTTGACCTGCAACAGAACCCACGAACAAGTACAGTTACGAACGGTCTAACACTATTAACAAATGGATCTCATTGGAAGAGATGCAAAGGGATGGAGGAAGGAGACCGTTATAGGAGCGAGGGCAGTGAGTGAAAAGAGGGGGAGGGRTATAAGGAACACATTTGTGGGTAAAAGGTGAGGATTCGAGGGTAGAAATTTGATTACTGATCTCTAATAGAGAAGGCAGATAAGGGGACAGATATAGGAACAAGAGGATTGATTTCCAATTGAGAGAGATATCAGACGAGGCTGCAAGGGAAATGATATATGGAGAATGGGGTAATCTAGACACACGGTGTGCGCATCCCACCCTCAGTTGATTGTCTAGTGCACTTCCCCTCCCCTCCCCCCATGCACACTTGCTTTGCGGTTTTCTTCCATTGGTCAAATATGAATGAGAAATTATRCAGTACATCTTACTTTGTCGGTGGTTGTTCCATTAAGGCTCATATACAACACACTGGCGTCATCAGACATGATTAGGAAAGCGAACAGGCAGTCAAATGGAGCAACGAAGAAGCCAGTCACTCTAGAACTGTAGCCTGCACCATCTGGCTTGTAAAACGACGACACTTCCGGGTTAGAAGCATTGGGTAAGATCTCTTTGATGTAGTTCGCATCCGAGGTCGACAAGGCGTCGATGTCTGTCAGCGTACTCTTGACAGTTCCATTCCATACTTCACGCAACACACCACGRTTACCTGAAAGAAAAGATTATAAAACCGCTGATTGGTGTTTCTCCATCCATTAATTGTATCATTTACACCAACTCCAGTTTCGAATTATCTTCTGTGCAAGCTTAGCTTCAATCAAGCATAAATGTTTATTTTCTCGGAACTGGAGTATTGTGGTTTATAAGTATTGATATAATGCTTGTAAAACATTAAGTGGCCAGTTTTCGATGCCTTTTTACTCATTGTCTTATGTCATACTGAAGTTTGTGAGATGAAGTCACGTGCTTTGAAATAAATCTCAGATGCTTTTACGTCATATGCCGTATACGCAATGCATTGTAGGATATGTTTTGGACAAAACATGGCGGATTTCTTTAGTTTTCTCTAGCAACTGGTCCCACAATGCATTGCAAATCAAGCAGGTGACGTAAAAGCGTGAGAAGTCTATTGCGCGATGTCGTTTCATTCACGCAGAGAAATTGTATTCCTGTCTCCTCCCTCCCACGGGCTTTGATGCATCGCAGCTAGACAAATCATGGTTTATTTGGCGTTACATTTTGAATATCATCACGTCTTGGGACATACACGATGCATACTTACCGCTGTAAAGAGTCTTAGGTTCACCTTGTGCACCTGTCTTGCACGTGATCTGTTCATCGGAGAGAGTTTCGATTGCGCATGGAACACCTACACAATACAACAAATAAAATGATATTGTATTAGTCTGCATCATTGGTATTTTTGTTAAATATTCTAGGAAGTAATTAAAGAAATGAATGGGAACAAAGCAAAGATCTTCAGTTCATGTAAGTATCTTATTTTACCTCCTATTTTTACTTTAACATTGTCTTTTTTGGTACCAAATCCCACGCCTGCAATAGTGACCGTGGTGTCACCAGCTGTACTCCCAGAGACTGGGCTGACGGTTTTTACGTCTGTAAGCATATATAAGAAAAAAGGAAGGGAAAAGATACTGTGAATTAGGTTAACGTCGAATGGGTAAAGCTTCAATACCCAATTACATAAAAGGTCCATCACACTTAATACTCCAATTTCGAGTTCTGGTTTGCTCTGTGTTAGCCTCAAAACCAAGTAACATATTCTTTTGTTCCATTGATAGCTCGAGAAAACGCATGGAATCTTATGAAGAAAGACAATAAATTTGATTTGAAATCTCACACTTTTACGCTCACAATGAGGAATATTTTGCGCACAAATGAGGCTAACACAGAGCATTGCAGAATTCGAAACTGGAGTATTCTGGTCACCATCATGCAAGCTCGGGCTACCTGTGTTTTTCACTGACCTGCATGGCTTTGGTAAATATAGAGTTCTTTTCGACTGTTAATTTGATAGATGTCTTTACTTGCTATGGAGCTTCCTTTTTCTCTCACAACGTAGTATATGTCATTGGATGCTGCAAACCAAAATGTTAATATTATTAGTAAGGCCGGCGCGTTATTTTCAGACAGCAAAAGACTCGATTTAAGCTTCCTCCGCAGGCCCCTAGAAKCTCATAAAATAGTTGAAACGTGCAAGTATCAAACAATAGAGCAAAGTTACACTAAAAAAATCCGGACACTTACCCACTTTTTTACACATTGGTTTGACTTTGAACCAACCATTACTATTCTTATCATTGACCCACGCACCGTAGCTTTTTAATAGAAATAGAAAAATCTGTTGTTATTTTCTAATTAAACACAAGAAGATAAAACCAAAGCGTATGACATAAGACATTGACGTAAACGCAAGCATAAACATAAACAGATTAGAGACTAATAAGAAAGAGGCAAAAAAAAATCCACTATACTTTTGTTTTGTTTATGCTTTTGTCATAGTATGATTTTGCCCTTTAAAGATAACATCAACTTGAGTAAGGAGTCGAGACATTAAAGACACTTACAGTTCGTTAGTTGTGCGGTCAAAAGGATCACCAAAATCACATCCGACGTAAGCCCTGTTGATTGTATAAATAATATAAGATGATGTCAAACTTGAATCTTTTGTCGACGGATAAGCTGTTTGCTTTCTACCCTGTTTGCTAGACACCATCTACTATAGGGARACTGGCCTTTGAGACCTCGTTTTAGTGCTTCTTCCCCAGTGTTGTGGTATGCAACCTTGACAATATCGCGCCATTTTTGAAAGTCATGTCATGAATTGTTTGGACAGTGGCCGTACACCGTGAGCCGCCCTTGACTTTCGTTCACAAGCTATACTCTTGCAGCCCTTGTCTGATATTTCAAGATGGMGGTCGCTTTTATCTCTTACCTTGTAAGTTCATTTTTAGTGGGATCGAARTCTGGTGATAATCGGCTGAATTGCTTGGTGAAYGTTTTCCCAGATATGGTGATTGTCCCTCCTGTGGCCGAGTACATAAAGTGAAATTATTCATTATGTAATTCATTGAAACTGATAGAACTTATTGGTCAAATTAAGTTGCATCCAATGGTATTTTTAAGCTCCAAACATATATTTTACACTTGTTGGGAATTTGTAGCATGATCCCATGGTCAACCGACTTGCATTAGGTCATGGCAAATTCTTCTTCCATTCACAATCCAGTTCCATCCATAGGTTTGAAGGTCAAATCTTACAATATCTCCATTCACAGAGCACAAAGGGATAATAAAGAGCAAGTTTTTGCTTATATTACGATGTATTTTTATTTTCAACCATACACAGAAGCTCGCATGGGATGCCGGTTAACAATGACCCTCGAAACAGGAGCATTTAGCACTCGTGCAATATTTGCGTAAAATTAATGAATGCTGCTGAACATAGTATTTTGCATTTAAAAAACATATGGATAGTGCAACCATTCCAATTGAGAAGAATTCCAAAAAATTGAACACTAGTCAAGGTGGGGATAAGCCAAGAATAAGGAAAACTTCGACACAATGCATACCTATAACTGATGCTCGTGGCTCAACAAACGTGATGGTTGGTGTTTTTCCACTGGTGAACTATAAAAAAAGATAAAACAATTCCATAAAAATATTTCTTACRTACTTGAGATAATATTCGCAATCTGATTGCTTGAGAAGTGTGTTTCGTTAGGGAAAGAAACAGAGTAGTGACAACATATCTTGTAAGAAACGCACCAAAATCSCAACTTTTTGTCTATTTGTATAATTATACACATCCAACGTGTTTGCGTTTCTCCCGTCACTTTTTTCTTTCTACTGTTCTTTAYAAATTCCACTATGTCTCTATTATTTACACCTTTAGAATAAATGCAGTGCTTGCGCGCATTGTAGATATTGCTGATATGGTAAAATGATAAGGTTGAGATGCCCGTCTCTTTTCGAGCTGTTTTAGCTTACCTCTTCTATTTGTTAAATAGAAAGCAAAGCCCGCTGGATAAGTGCCAAATTCAATGCAAACTTTACTCCAGAGAAGTTTTTGTTAATCATTTTATATGCAATATATTCGAAACATATTAGAGAGTTTTAGATACGCGTTTACGGCGAACRCCAAACGTCAAAACTGATCACGTGATCACTGTTTTTCAGTATTAACGCTCCGTTCTTTCGCGATTGTGTATAAAATAGATAACTTTTTCGTGCATAAGCGCATCACTATTCCTTTCGAAGCTTTTTACGTTTGTTCGAAATTTTGAGACAAAGCATAAAAGCCAGTTTGGCGTTTGCAGTAAACAAACATTCTTAGAAACAGTGGGTTTACTTACCCTAAAGGTACACCTGCCATAACAGTATTTACTGACTGGTTTTCCGTCAACAATCACAAAAAGATCATACCAGTCTTCCGATGCAGAAGTCGGTGTAGCTCTRATCGGCACAACAATGCATCATTAATAAAGAGAATTAAAAATAACGAAAGGCCGGTGGGAGGGGAGGGAAGGGAGATATTTGTAATCATCAGTATTATGCTCGCTCAAATGGAAAGTTGGAAGAATGAACAAATAAGTTTTATGTTGTTTTGCACTATTGATGTTGTACACTTAATAATTTTATTGTTTCTACTCTAAATAAATCATGCCAATTTTTTCATTRTTTCGCTTCAGCCAAAGTTGCGAATGCTCTCGGCC